CAGACATTTCCAGCGGTCGTTTGAATAAAGGTCGTTATGTTCTTTATCACGTGATTATACTTGTAACCATCGATTACCTGATCTAACAGATAAGCCTATTTTATTGAACTTAGATTATGTTTTTGGATAATAAATAATTATGATAATCATATACATCTGGCAACAATATCAATATGGCGAGCGGGTAGGATTTGTCTCATTTTTCTCTCGTTATTTTTCTGTTTTTCGTGTTTCCTAGCCAGGTTTTGAAGCCGAAATTACGTGTCCGTGTAAATGAATAATCGGAGAGTAAGTGAGGAAAGCGAGAATGTGTTGGAAATGAGTTTTGCGAATAAGAACAGGTGTTTTCATATATAGTGTGATTTTTTTTTACTTTTTTTTGCGACATTTTCGAGGTGAGAATTTTCCTGCCTCATTGTTCAGTATCATGTTGTTCTTGGAAACCAACGGAACTCTTCCCCAGATTCCATAAACACCGAACAAGGAGAAGAGAAGAGAAGAGAGAGAGAGGAGAGAAAACAGAGAAGAGAGAGACACAAAAAGCCAAATAATTGTTCATAAAACCCCAACGTTGTGAAGTGAAACGTTTAATATTTTTTTTTTTTCAAAAGAGTTCGCAATCTCACGCAACAAAGGACCTTTTCCCCTTCTTCTTTGGCTTCGATTTTAAGGCTTCAAGTCCCTCCCTCTCCCCCCACACTCCGAGTCCTGTAGGAGTGAGGGAAGGAAGCACAAGGAAGCGGTCGCCTCGTCTGCCACGAAGGAAGAAAGGAGAAAGAAAGAAAGAAAGAGAGAGAGAGAGAGAGAAAGAAAGACAAAGAAAATCCCGTTTTATTATCATGTGAGGACGAAGATAGGGAATGGAGGGAAGGAGAGACGGGGAAGGGAAGGTTGAAGGAAGGGAGAAGGAGAGAAAAGGGAAAGGAATAGGAAGGGACGTAAAGGAGGGAAAATGAGGGAATTTGGGTTCCTCTCCCTTTCCCTCTTTCTCCCTCTTCCTTCTCCTTCTCCCTTATTCTTAGTGTGAAAGTGATGGTCTGTTTTGTTTTGTTTTGAGGGAGACAAGAGGATAGAGGATGCCATTAGTGACCCTTAAATTCTTTTGTTTTCGATGTGAAGTAGTCTTTGCTATTTGTTTATGTTTGCGCGTTATCCTCTAAGGTGGAAGAACTGGTTACAGTAAATCTTGAAGTGAGGAATCCTTGGAGGTAGAGGGAAACTAAATTAATACCCGTAGAGGATGCATGAAACGGCTCTAGTAGCTTTAGAAAAGCCCGCTGAAGGTGAAGGTAAGATTGCGATTACTTATCACAAATGTGGTGATGCGAGCACTTGCTTTGGCCATTATACCAGTTGCATTCCAGCGAAAGGACAACGAGGCTACGCCATTCTGCCAAGACAGAGCTTATAGATCACACTGGTCACTTTGCCCGACGAAGGTGCTGTCAAGGCTCTGTCGTGCCGAAAACATGTGGCGGAGATCTGTTGGCCTTTGCCGGAGTGCAGAAGGTGCGGAGGTCATGGTAAACTTGGTATTTAGGTTCTAGAATTGCCAGGAGATATTTAAGAGAACGAGATGAATTACTCAGGTGTTTCTTTATTTGAAAACTTATCAAGGATGCAATCAGAATAACCTTAAAATAAACAGAAAGAGACGATCATGCTTTACGTACAGAGATAAGCATAACCTATGTTTATATTTTGGTAAGAATTTTTAAAAACTTACACAGAATGTAAACATGCATGGTGCTTGCCAGATGTTACTATTTGGCAATCTCTCTCCGTTGCGTTGTTATTATTAGGCTCTTTCATAGTATTTTAAAATTGGTGTTTGGTGATTTTACAGCGCTTGTACAGGTACGCAGAAGTGTTAGTACTTGAGCTAGTTTCACATAGCTGTTTTAGAATTGTACAATTTAGTTAGAAAAGATGTTCGTCTAGTTTGCGGGCTTGTTGAAATACATACAAAATCTGATTAATTGCTTGTTAATTTTTTTAAAATGTTTGTTGCCTTTTGTTTTGCAAAGATTAAGGATTTCATGGAATTGATGATGAATATGACATGTACAACTTATTTGCTATGACTAAGAAAAAAATGTTTTTTCTTGTACTAGTATTGACTATGTTCTCTATATATCCACTGAAAGATTGCTGTAGTTTATGATGGGTGGCCAGCAATATCAAGTCCTACTTGATAATGGTGCAGTGTTAAGCTTATAGTTTAAATACGTGGTAGGAGGTCTGTTTGCCTTTGCCAAAGCATCAACAGGCATGGAGGTCATGGCATTCGGTGTTTAGGCTAGTGGCATGTACATGGGTGTCTTGTAAACATTTACTCATGGTTTGCAGACTTAGGAAGGGTTAGTACTGAAAATGGTCTAGTAAAAATATGAAGATGAATCAGTGGGTAAGGTAGGGAGTAATTTGGATGGATAGGTAGATAATTTTGAAAGCATTTTGCTAATGACAAATGTTTTGTGAATTGAGGATAGAAGTGACTTCATAATAATCATTTATAGGATGGATAAAAAGAAAGGGTTATCTACCTTTCACAACTATGATCATAATCACAGCATATGCAGTACAGAGACCTTCATAGAGATGTTTTGTAAAGCAAGATATTGGTCCACCCTATATCCTGTGATACTATTTGTGGTGGAAGGTTGTTTCTTTGCAAAGATATTTAGGGTTATGGTTATTACCTGAGGCATCCATCAGTATATTGTTAAGAAAGTAATCAGTAAATGTTTAGAACACACCTACATGTATGCGGCTGGATTAACGGCAGACTGTAAGGACTTCGTGTTTATTGCTCATCTTTCGAAGGCTAGCATCCCCCAACTGTTTACATTATTGCAAGATTGTGCTTACTCTCTTTACTTTGTTTCCAAATAGTGAACCAGTCAGCACTTTAACATGAAGAATATTAATGGTAGATGCATTTTGGTCTTTGATGAAGGGCAGAGGCCACACCAGTTGTTAGACAGTGTCATTATTGGATTTGACTTTATTTTGGAGATCACTGCAAGTTTTAAGAATTTAAGAAAAAATAGCTTAATTTTAAATAGCATGCCTTTATCTTCTACTTTTGGCTTGTACATGCCTTCCACCGTAGATTTACCTTGTAGAAAAAAGATGCATGTGAGGCTTTTTAATTATCTTCTTCAGAAATGCATGTATTTCTGTTGGAAATATATTTGAAGTGCACCAGACACATTTCTTGTGCAGTAAAGTTATTCATTCTCATTCATACCTTCTATATTTATCACAATAAAGTCCGTTCATTTCTGGCATTGTACATTATCTGTCAGGTATGTTACAAATTAGATGCAAAACTTTAAGAGATTGTTATATATCATTATCATAAAAGTCATCCTTGGAAATGATTGTTTTGACAATTTGCGTGATATCCTTATCCTTGCAACTTTTGTCTTGCGTTGTAGATCACTATTTTCCTTTTTCTTCTTGTTGGTATTCTTTCTGTCTGTGATCTTATTTATTTATGCCTAATGTGTTCAGATGGGAAATCATTCTTCAGGTTCTTTATTTTTGGGAAGGGAATATTACTGACTAGGCTAAGCTTGAATTTGGTCTTATGGCTAAACAAGAGAGTTGTATGGATCAGAACAAATAACAAAGAGAGAACAGTGTTTTTTCCATTTGATTTATTTTTCTATGTTATTGAAAAAGTTAAACAAAACTGCTATTGAGGTGAAGTTTGTAATGCAACACTATGAACAATAAGAAAACCCCTTTTTGGTTATTTATAAATTCTTATTTTACTGTTCAACTGTTTTAGGAGACCATGTTAATGTTTTTTGATCACAAATAAGAAGGGTGTGATTCTTTAAATTCTTTGTAAATGTGGAGTTTTATTGTCTGAAGTTTTACTCACAAATATCTTTTTTTTTTCTTTTGTCATTGTAGTTCTGTGAATTGCAACTCATGTTCTTGAGAAACGTCCATTGATATGTACATTTTTGTTCTTTACATTCGTCCAGATGCCATATGTGACTTGACTGGTGTTCTTACAATATCTTAATCTCGACTGTAATTTTGTAATTTATATATGGCATTTGTAGAGCATATCACCCATAATATATACATGTAATTGTAATTATTGCAATAAGATTATATACTGTTCAATAATCTTTGACATATTCAGCAGTTTAGCATTAGGATGATTCCAGATAAAGGGTATTTAAAAAAATATATATTAAGTAAAGGGGTTTAGGATTGAAAAGCAGATTTTGATGATCCATGAATAATACTGGCTTCCAGAAGACTAGTTTGTGTATTGAAGGTTGACTGGTGTTCGTATGCTCTGCTGTGCTTTTGGTTAGTCTTGTGTGTCTGTGAATACTTGTCATACTTGATTTATTTATGTGTTTATTTATTTTGTCAAGTCTGTATTCTTACAAAAAGTTTTTTGCGATTGCTGGAGTGAAGTTATCAAAGAAAATGTGCGTGTGAAAGAGCATGTGTGACCTCTTGAGATAATTTACAGGCTACTAGGTAATGAATGTGGATATAGGCTTACAAAACAATACACCATAAGCTGAATAGAATCATGTTGGATCTTGTAATTTGTGAAAAGATTCGGGCCTCTGTACTAGAAGCCACCTTCATTTATGTGGAGATCTCTGTTAATTTGCAGACAACTTTTCTTTGTAAGGAAAAGAGTGTGAGATTGGTGGAATAGGTTATTAGGATAGCATCATGATGTGAATAGTTAATGGTATCTAAGACATTTAGCTTCCATTCTTTTATGACCCTGAGATATTCATGTATGTTGATTTTGCTTCCATTTTCATGAGAGTATTGTCATTTCTAAAAGGAAGGAACCCTTTGACTGCTTATCTGTTATTTTGTTTAGAATCACAAGATAATTTGATACTGTGACCCTATAATTACTTTTCAGTGTTAGATTGTCTCATGCTGAATGCACACTTTTATGCAGGTAATTCATGCATGCTGATTTTTGCATTTATACTCTACTTCAAAAAGAAAGTTCTAAGTCTCATGTTTTGTTTCAGGGGCCGTTTTAATGAGGTCTGCTGTCCTCAGCATCCAGAAGCACATTTAATAGAGGATTACCGTGCTGGTGACCAGATCTGCTCAGAATGTGGCCTGGTTGTTGGTGACAGGTGAGTTGGCTGTTGAATTGTATTTTATTTTATTTTTTTATGATTTTGTTTAGTGGTAGAACACAAAATTGTTTTTAGGTAGGGAGTGTTATGCTGTATGTTGGGGGTTTGGACATATTCTAATATTACTGAATAGCCTTTTTATTTTCTTGTCTTTTAAGGCTTTATGCAGTATTTTTTGTTAACTTTTGCACTTCCGTATGAACATGGCATATGCAAATGGTCAGACCCATTAGACTTTCAGAGACACTACTCTCGTGTAAACCAACATGATGCCCATGTAAACAAGTAAGATACTATTGGAGGTGGCCTGTACATTCCAATAGCATGGGTTATGTGCAGTACATTCTACAAGCAAGGATATTACCTCCTAAAACTTGCAGTGTTTATATTGTGTCAAAACAGGAAATTAATTTTTTTCCTTGATGTCATCAATGTGCACTCATTTATTGTCATCTTCATATAGCTAATGTGTAAATATTTTTATTGCTAGATTTTACTTGCTTTAAAAACACACACAAAAATGATCCTCCAGATTTTTTTTTCTTGCTCATGCAGCTGGTCCTATCACATACTAATTTTCCTTTTTTGAGGTAGAACTTTATTTAAAAAACTGTTGAGGAGACTGGTAGACTTGGATGTACTTTTACTATTACTATGTAGAACTTAGTACTAGGAGTGGAGTGTGCTGTGTGAAGCATTTTGAATGCTAATTTTCAGATGTATTAGGTGTCTGCAAAAACAATCATTTGAATTGCTAATATCCCTATTTGTAATTTATCTTGAGAAGCGTACACCTAGCATAGAAGTGCTGATGTACACTGCAAACGCTGTTCTTATTTCTTGCAGTTTGCTAAATACAGATTGTAAGATTCTTTTTCACTCTGTCCTTAAATGTTTGTGTGAATATACATACCGGAAGTACAGTTAACCTACGAGATGTATGTAATGTTCACTTCATAAGCTTCCTTTTACTTTATTTCATCTTAATTACATGTGCAAATATAATGTAATATTACAATGGTCACTTGTAAAAGTATTAATAGTAACTGATTCACAAGTGTGATATCTAATAAGAGGATATTAAGTGCATTCTGTTCAGCAAAGTTTTGAATGAATTTATATGTCAAAAATGGACAAGTAAACAAAGGAAATTGTTTTTGTTCAGGTTCTTGGGCATAGAAATGAATGTGGAGGATCATGGTGGACTCTCCAATAAACCAATTTTATGCATAGCTTGTGGGTTTTCTTTCATGGTAGGAGTAACAGCAGTCACAAAATTGGAAGTGAACAGCTTGTTGTAAACAATTTATTTCATATCTTAGGAAAAGATGTAAAAGTATGAGACAAATTGGTTTCTAAACTTAAAAAATATGACCAACAATCCCTAATATTTCTCATTAAAGCAGCAGCTTTTGATATACAGGACATGTGTCCCCAATGCCGTGCCCAGAGTGTTGAAAGTGCAAACACTACTCTTTATAGATTGTTCAAGACAACAATTCTATTGTAGAAGGAGCTATTTGTATATCATGAAAATATAATGACAAACTATCCTGCAGGAAGTAGGTAAAAGGTCTCGTGCTTCAGTTGGTACCAGGAGGATTAGTTGTTGTATAATAGCCAAGTATGTAATTATTAACTTTGATATGAAGAGATCTTTCTCTATATTGATAGCCCAGATAGAATAACTTTTCTCTGAGTAAAATCCTGATGTTTTTATTGTAGAGAGCAAATCAGAAATCCTCTCATGAAACAGAGTAGTAAGGTATAACTCTAAAGGGGTTATTATATGAGGCTAGTAATTGTTACCTGTCCATGGATGACCTTGTGTCTTGGACTGTCATATCCCTCAGCAAGCATTCTCAAGTGCTCACTAACCTGGACTAGCCTGAAATAACAAGGAGAGTAAGGAAGGTGAAATGCTATGAATTAGTATTTGCCATGACCTTAAATGTGGCCTTGGAAGCAGCAATGAGAAGAAAGTTGCTGATCACAGGGTGTTAAGCACCAGAGAGAGCAGAACCAAATCACTACACAATGTGACCCAGCAAAAAGATTGACCAGAATCGAGACTGGCTTCATGGAGGTTATCTCTGCATTTGCACTAGAGTATGAAAGTGTTGTTTTACAGAGGATATGAAGGCACTCAGCGTAAATGATCTAGAAATTCCCTTCAGTGCCTGGCTAATGAAGTTACTTCTGTGTAAGAGTTAGAATGCAAATTTTGCATTATATATAGAAACTTGTGTACCCTCCCTGACAATTACTTGACCCTGCTTCTCACAAGTTGTTAAGCACCATATGACAAACTAAAAAGATTGCCTAACCTGAATCAAGACTAGCTTTGTGGACATTAACTATCTACTTGCATAAGAGTATGATAGAGAGGTTTTACAGACAGTCTCTATGGACACTTGATTTGATGTTAATTATTAAGAAATTCTTATACATTGCTAGGTTACTGATGTTGCTTCTACAGGTAAGATAGAATGATTCAATAATGCATTTTATGTAGAAATTTGTATACCCTTCATGACAATGACTTGTACCTGCTTCTCACCATTAAGTGCTAGAGAGAACTGAACCATACCACTACACCATATGACCTGCTTGTTCAACAGTGTCAGGTATTTTTAGATGCTTATCTAGACGACTTCAAACATCCTGTCTTGCATTCATGAGAGCAAGTTCTGTTCAATGTTCTGTTTTTAAGAAAGCCATCTCGGGCCCAAAAGGAAAAGAAAAATATTGGTTTGTGAAGAGAAGAGAGTACTGATATCTTACTTTTATTGACACGACTGTGATTTATTCTTTTTATATATGAGATAGTAGAAAGGAAAATAGAGAAAATGAAATTTGAGTTGGAATGAGGAACCAAGTAAATAATCTTTAGATTAAATGTTATGGATTTCCAGTGTATTAATCTCATACCCTTTTGATACAGAGTGATTGACGTGGGTTCAGAGTGGCGTACATTCAGCAATGAAAAGGCCAACAGTGACCCTTCCCGTGTGGGAGGTGCGGAAAACCCACTCCTAAATGGCTCTGATCTCTCCACCATTATTGGACCCGGCACAGGCAGCGCATCATTCGATGGGTTCGGAGGGTCCAAATATCAGAACAGAAGATCTGTAAGTATTGGCATAGTCATTGGTTTCGTTTATGTTCTCCTGTTCCGATAATTGCATTCAGAAATGTAAGGTGAAGATTTACAGCCATTGTGTTCTTTTATCTGTTATTTTTTATGTAAAAAATGTCTATGTTGTGCATAGATGGAATTTAGATATTCCATGGTGCAATTCAGCTTCACTGCAAAGCGAGTTTGTTTTTCAATGCAAGTTCAGTGTCCTCCACATGTTGCATTGAGGAGAAATGGCTAGCAGGAATTGACTCAAGACATTTCATTTGTTTTTTTCTTACTCTTGGTTATGAAAGATAAGGGATGGGCAAACATCCAGTACAATGTATTAAAAACATTAAATTATCCAGTCTGGTTGAACTGAGACATACCTCATGTAGGATTTTTTGACAGTGTTACGTACCGCTTATGAGACAATCTCTACTTAAATTTGGCATGTATTTGGAATGCTTTTCTGAGAGTTTATGTTCCTGGGTTGTGCCGTCATCTCTTTTACCTTCTTAAATATTTGAGACTCCATTTAACTTCAGAACATCTTGTCATAGAAATGGCTATTTATTGTAAAATTTTGCACAGGTAATGGGAAATGTAGAAACCCATTCAGGTGATCTTTGAACAGTTGTCTTTCATTTTATTTTTAACCCCCTGAGTGTAGGTTTTCAACTCATGTAGGGGATGAGAATATCAGTCATATTGTAATTTTATGGGTTTTCACATTTTTTCTGTTCTTATTATTGATATTTGAGGTAAGTGGCATGAAAGATGATTGAAAGGCCCTTTCCTGTGTTGCGGTATTAGGAAAATATTTTTACCCTTTTCAGATGTCAAGTTCAGACCGTGCCCTCATTAATGCCTTCCGAGAGATCAGTAACATGGCAGACAAGATCAACCTGCCAAAAGCCATTACTGACAGAGCAAATATGTTGTTCAAACAGGTCAGTAGATATTTTTGGAATTCTTTCTGTGTGGTGAAGTAGATAGTGAGATCTTCCAAGCTCTCCAAAATTAATAGATGAATTTAACTTAACTATTTATCCATCATATGTCAGATTAATATCTGTAATTGATATCTCAACACTTTCTCACTGATGATTGCCATATATTTTGACAAGGGAAGAGACACTCAACTCTATCATATGGAAATGAATTGATGGGTTGCCTTTCCTGTTTTCTGTAGCACCAGTAACTGATCTCACGAGATAAAGTACATTTTTACATAGTTTCAGTAAATGTAAAGACTTTTTCACTTCATATAAAAGAAAAGAATGTGTATAATTTGTTAAACCTATTTTCTTTATTCATATGAAGTGTATGGATAAAAAAGAATATCAAATAATCTGAGTTGTGCTTTTCAGGTGCATGATGGCAAAAATTTGAAAGGCCGTAGCAATGATGCCATCGCGTCGGCTTCCTTATACATAGCCTGTCGACAGGAGGGAGTACCCAGAACCTTCAAAGTATGGATAATTTCATATTAGTTTTTAATTAGTTTTTATTTTTTAAAAACATAAATTGACAGTTTTAGGATGTTGTCTAAAATTCATGGCAGTTGTAAAATGATTATGTCCAAAGGAATTTTACGATTTTTAAATGAGACTTTGACAGAATCATTAACCTGTTCCTGCAGTTAGTGCATATTTATTTAAGTAAATTGGTTTACACGTGAATGGCTCCAGAAGGTGCTATTTAGTCACCAAAGAGCTAATTATCAGCTTACCTTACCTCGTCTATTTACCTCATTCCTTGATTTTTTTGAGAGGGAACTTACTTAATTTTATTACTATTTTTATTATTGACCACTTGCCGCTGGGATGGCATGTGCGTACATGCCATGCCCACTGTGTGTTTAATTTAGTAATTGTTTTTAGTTATAGATGGCTACACAAGTGCTAAGTCACCAATGAGCCAGTTACAAAAGCTACCTGTCTCACCTGTTTACCCTTTTCATTGATTTTTGAAACAGAAACATTTAATAAAACATTACAAAAGTGAATGCAACATTTCCTGGCATTATTGGGTTAATAACTGATGATAGTTAAATGATGAAGTAATTAAAGATTGAACTAATGTGAATGACTCCCAAAAATTCAGTTTGGGTAATATAGGCTTAGTAATTGACTCCTTAGTGGCTAAACATTTGTGAAGCCATAGGTATGAAAATACAATTAAAACTTGGTTAAACCCTTCTTTTGTTTCCAAGTTTTTGCATTTGCAATGTGTTTGTTTTACATTTGCCTTAACAATGAACATTATGCTTTACTGTAATGATTAGGTAAATGTGTAATCATATTTTCAAAGTTCTTTATATTGTAAATGCTACTAGGTAACTGTGCCATTCTTACCATTTCTCTATGTTTATTCCTGTTTAATTAGGAAATACCAGGGGCAGGATATTTCTTGTAAGGAGATTGGCTTGAACATTTATGATGAATATGAGAAAAATTGAAAATCATAGCAGTTTATGCCCTAAACAATTTGCCAACTGCATATAAATATGTATGTCACACGGTAATGATATTTATTGACTTGGTTAAATATGATATGACATATATCCACTCTGTAGGGAATCCTTTTTGGCCATTAAGTCATACATGGGAAAGCTTTTGGTAAAGATAGGTGGATAACTCTGCTCCTGAGGTATCATTTTACTTCTTTCTAGTGTCTTTATTTACTGAACTTGGTAATTAGCCAGCTGTTCAGGCTATAATAATTAAAAGGTTTCATTTGTTATTCCTACAGTTGATAAAAATGTGGAAAAATGACATTTGTGGATGCTTAACATTAGGACTGCTTCATTCGTCAAGAATATAGACCAGATTCCTATTGGTGCTGTCTAATGTAATACTTTTCATTCCAGGAAATTTGTGCTGTGAGCAAGATCAGTAAGAAAGAAATTGGACGATGCTTCAAACTTATCTTGAAGGCTCTGGAAACCCAAGTTGATCTCATCACCACCGGAGACTTCATGTCAAGGTTTTGCTCGAATCTTGGCCTCCCGACAGCTGTCCAGAAGGGTGCCACCCACATTGCCAGGAAAGCTGTTGACTTGGACATCGTTCCTGGAAGGTCACCCATTTCCGTAGCAGCAGCGGCAATTTACATGGCCTCACAAGTATGTTTTGCTTTGGTTGGTTGTAAATTACTAAATTTTATTTCTTTTTATGATAAGTTGATCCTTTTGACAACCTGTCAAATAAGTATTTGTCAGTGGGGAGTGTTTCTTCACATGGATCAGTTTTGCAAGCATTACTGTTAGCCCCAAAAGTCTCAGGACACTGGTCATAAACAATTATTTCTTTCTCTCTCTTTCTTTCTCTCTCTTTTCTCTTTCTTTCTTCTCTTTTCTTTCTCTTTGTTTCTCTTTCTTTCTTTCTTTTCTCTTTCTGTTTCTCTCTTTCTTTCTGTCTCTCTTTCTGTTTCTGTCTCTCTTCTGTTTCTTTGTCTCTCTTTTCTGTTTCTTTGTCTCTCTTTCTGTTTCTTTGTCTCTCTTTCTGTTTCTTTGTCTCTCTTTCTGTTTCTTTGTCTCTCTTTCTGTTTCTTTGTCTCTCTTTCTGTTTCTTTTGCCTCTCTTTCTTTCCCTTTCTTTCTCTTTCTTTCTTCTCTCTCTTTCTTTTCTCTTTCTTTCTCTCTTTCTTTTTTTCTCTTTCTTTCTCTCTCTCTTTCTCTTCTTTCTCTCTTTCTCTCTTTCTCTCTCTTCTTTCTTTCTCTCTCTTCTCTTTCTTTCTCTCTTCTTCTTTCTCTTCTTTCTCTCTTTCTTTCTTTCTCTTTCTTTCTCTCTCTCTCTTTCTTTCTCTTTCTTTCTTCTCTCTTTTTCTTTTTCTTTTCTTCTCTTTTTCTTTTTCTTTTTTCTTTTTCTTCTTTTTCTTTTCTTTTTCCTTTTCTTTTTCTTTTTCTTTTTCTTTTTCTTTTTCTTTTTCTTTTCTTTTTCTTTTTCTTTTTCTTTTTTCTTTTTTCTTTTCTTTTCTTTCTTTTTCTTTTTCTTTTCTTTTTTCTTTTTCTTTTCTCTCTCTCTTTTTCTCTTTCTTTCTCTCTTTCTCTTTTCTTTCCCTCTTTTCTCTTCTCCTCTCTCTCTTCTCTCTCTCTCTCTCTCTCTTCTCTCTCTCTCTCTCTCTCTTCTCTCTCTCTCTCTCTCTCTCTCTCTCTCTCTCTCTCTCTTCTCTCTCTTCTCTCTCTCTCTTTCTCTTTCTCTTTCTCTTTCTCTCCTTTCTCCTTCTTTCTCCTCTCTCTCCTCTCTCCCTTTCTCTCTTTCTCTCCTTTCTCTCATTCTCTCTCATTCTCTCTCTTCTCTCTCTCTTCTCTCTCTCTTTCTCTCTTCTTCTCTCTTTCTTTCTCTCTCTTTCTCTCTCTCTCTCTCTCTCTCTTCTCTCTCTCTCTCTCTCTTCTCTCTCTCTCTCTCTCTCTCCTCTCTCTCTCTCTCTCTCTCTCTCTCTCTCTCCTCTCTCTCTTTCTCTTTTCTCTTTCTCTCTTTTCTCTTTCTCTGGCTGAATAAATCTGTGGCCACCCTATGGTTTTCGAACCAAGAATTTATTTGGTAACACTGGTGCATTCAAGTATAACAATATCAGTCTTCTTGAAGAACACATGTGTGGAATTCATGGTGAACAGATTGCAACAGGAACAACGAAGGGAAGGGTAAGAAAACACAACGAATATGCCGAAGGCCTTTTTCACTATTGCTTCGTCAGGGCATATGCCCTGACGAAGCAATAGTGAAAAGGCCTTCGGCATATTCGTGTGTTTTCTTGCCCTTCCCTTCGTTGTTCCTGTTGTAATATCAGTCTTGTGGTTAAATGAACAATGTTAAAAGGTCTAAGGAAACTTTGCCACTTGCATTTTAATATTCAGAATAAAATGCATGAGATGATAAGTAGATTGGGAAACAGACATTCCCTGGCTTAATTTCCCAATTGAATGTGAGTTGCCCTCACTTAGCTGTACTACTTATAGCTTACACTAGTTATAGGGTAAATGCTTTCATGAAATTTGTAAACTCTATCGTGATGGGGCTAGAATTTTCTGTAATATATCGCAACAGCTTAGTCTTTCTAGCAACGTTTGTGTTGTGTACAGCATAACCACCCGCTCGCTGAGTTATGACACGTACATGAAGGCTATAACTGTACTTGTCACTGAGAGGATATGAATGATAATAATGATATGAAGGCAAACAGTTGTGTTGTTTACAGTCACTCACCCCGTACTGGTACATATCATGAATGCAATCTACGTATTGATTACTATTTTGATTTGATAGCTTGCTTTTTTAGGAAAAAAAGATCCTATCCATACATGTTTATTTGCTCTCCCGTGTTCAATCATGAAGCATCTGCGTAATATTTATAATCAAGTTGTGTGTAATTTAGATGTTATGGGTGCCGTGAACATTTTGGAATAAAACACCTGATATTCTCCTGACAAGACAAAAAAGCATGGGAAAATGTGATTTGATATTTTCGCGACATAAGGTTCACTCTCTCAAGATTTCATGTACTAGAGAAAAATTATATTACCATGTAGTTGCATGTTATCATTTTTCATGTCTGATGGATGTAAAAGGAAGGCAGCCATCAGTTAAAACACAGGTTATACCTTTTTTTTAAAGAGTTTATATAAGAACAGGGTTTATTTTGTTATATTTTGAGTGTATGACAGTGTTACCAAATAAAATCTAAGCTCAGTAATTATTGGATAGTTGCACATTTATTCAATCAACTATACCAAAAAATAAATTTCAATTTTAAAAATATTGGCATGGTTGCTGTTGCTCCTAGGGGAGTAAGTAAAAGAAATGTAATTCAAAAGATGTATAATCTTTTCCTCCAAGAATCAGCAAAAAACATAATTGTGATTATTTTTTAAACAGGTTTTTATCAAAAACCCTACAAGTCAATTTTCGCCTTCCTTAGGCTGGTCCCTTTAAAGTATTGTTATCATAAGTGGTTGGGACAAATGTTTATTCATCCTCGAACAAATAACCACATTGCTTCAAATATACTTTTGGCCTCTTCACTAACATCATCATCTAATGTATAATATTCATTATCACTATCTTTATCTTTGACCTAATGTCAGTCCAACGAACAATCATCCTTTTTATAGAATTCTGCCAATATCCTCATCAATCCTAATTTTTCTATTCTTCCTGGCTTTTGACACTCCCTTGATGGACATGTATTCTCTGTGATGTATGTAGGGCTATTGTGCTTGTGGTGTAGACAAGCGACAATTCTTGGGGAACTGTGATGAAATACTCGATGCACACCATTTAGTTTGAAGAAAGAAATAATGTGTAAAGTGACTTTAGCAGCCTTTTGCCATTTGCATCACATACCCAAGTAAGCCAATTGCCTTATATTATCCTTCAGGGGTTAATAAACTTTATATGTAGATTAGCAGTATATGTTGTCATATCAATGAAATTTAATACATTTTCTTTTTAATATCCCCAGGCTTCAGAGGACAAGCGAACTCAGAAGGAAATCGGTGACATTGCTGGTGTTGCAGATGTCACCATCAGACAGTCATACAAGCTTATGTACCCAAGAGCAAAGGAGCTTTTCCCAGAAGACTTTAAGTTCTATACACCTGTGGATCAGCTGCCACAGTTATAGAGTTCCAGTGTTTTACAGAGGAGCCCTTGGGAGATGTCACTAACGTTTACATATAGTGGGTTTGACCCCCATTTTATAGGAATAAGTACCTTGGAAGTTTTTTATTTTGATTTTTTACCCCCTGTTAGGTTCTTAAGTTAATGAGTTTCTTGAGAGGTTTGACATAGTAGCGAGAAGGCAGTTAATACTCATTAAATATGAAGGGGTAAGAAAGTGATGCGGATGAGGCAGAGATTTTTAAGAATGCCATGAGGTTTACTCTTGAAAATCAAATATATCATATATCTTTTATGGCTTTATGAAGACACAAAATGATATTCTTTGTAAATTGACAGGAGATTCCTTGCTTATTAGCAATTTTAATAGATAAAAGTGTACATTCAAAGATTATTTTCTTTTGTGTTTTCTAAAAAGTGTAAAAAAAATAACAAAAAGCAAAACCAGAAAAAAAGGAAATCTTTTTATGTTGTGTAACCTTACTGATTACTGAGTGAAATCATTTTAACTGATCACAAAATAAAAGACAGAGTGAATGAAAAAAGAGGGGGTTTAAAAAAATTAGAAAAGAAAAACTTCGGAAAATGTATGTATTTGGTTTATGTATATTTATACACTGATGTATACAGGATTATGACATATTAATGAGGGTTAAAAATTTATTAACATGTATGTAGCATTTGATGGATTGTTTTTTCAAAAGGAAATTTCTGAAATATGATTATTTTACATAGTCTAGAAAAGAACTGATGTCGTGATTGATAACAGGTTCTCACAAGTGTTGATGCAGAAACACTTAGTGTGATGTATAAGCATATTGTTATTTGAGGTTTCATCATTATTTTTTTTTTCCCAGTTAATCCAACTTAGATTTTTTTTTTTTTTTTTTTTTTTTTCTATTTATTTAATATGAGTAGGCTGCGAAAATAAAACCAGAATGGAAACAGTTCATTCATGCGCCTGAATAAGGGAAGAATTGTTCGGTTAACAGTCAAAAAACACATTGGAATCACCATGGGCGGCCCTTGTTTAAGTCGGCGTGAATATTGCAGCATGCCTTAGTCAGTATCAAATGTATTTAGAAGTAAGTTAACCCTCTGGATGTCTGTAGGTTATTGGGCAATGTAGATGAAAAGAAAGTACAAAATAAATACTTTTTGACAATGAACGCTTATGATGATTCGTGTTTATTATTATTGGTAGTTGTTTCTTGTTTATGTTAGTACCATTATGATTGTTGTTATTGTCACGTTTATTAATTTTATTGTTTATTATTATTATTATTATTATTATTATTATTATTATTATTATTATTATTATTATTATTATTATTAGTCATCATTAGTGTCAGTATTGTCTTCATTATTATGTATAAGGAATTCATATTATCATTTTTTTGTATTATTATTATTACTATTGATTAATGACCTTAATCACTATTGTTATTATTATTAGTAGTAATATTAGTTCGTTATTCTTGTGTTATTATTTTTTCTGTCGCAGTGCTAAAGTTGTCATTATTATTGGCATATACTGTCACTGGTTTTTGTTCCTGTGAATTTTCATTACAATATATTCAGATGCATTACCATTCATTTTTTCAGCTATACATTGTGATTATTATTAATAGGATGTTCTCTCAACAGCCCCTTGTGCCTCTTACAGATTATGTTACGTACTCAAGGAATCGTGATTTGTGTAGTTTTGTACGTGTTCATTGTTTATCATCATTTCCAATATCATATCACAAATTTGCCACAAATGTTCAGCTCTGCATCGAGAAATAACTTGAAAGGAAGATAAGAAAATGAAACTGCATATGAACAGTTAAAGTGATATAGAACAAGTGATAAGAAGGTAAACATGAGAAGATTTCGTGCGTTTTATCTCCATTCCATTGTTAAGGCCCCGAAATTACGAAGAAAAAATAAAACCAAATAAAATACAAATAAAATAAGATAAAATAAATAAAAAAAAACATATATGGCATAGTTATTATTTTTTATATTGATAATCATGGTAAATATGTAAATAATAACCATACAAACTTGTCATGCGTTTAAAGTGGGAAGTTTGTCTGTCCCTGTTGTTAGCAGTGACAAAAACATTTTGTAAGGTGAATATTTTTAAAGGAAGGATGTCGGTAAAAACTCTTTGTTTTATGGATAGAGTTCCTTTGATTTCGGACAGTTGGAAGGGGGGTCAGGGTGGGGGGGGGGGGTGATTGTGTAAGTTAAATTTTTGTGTGAGATGGTAATTGTTTTGTTGCTGTTATCATACTATTATTATTTTATGATTATTATTATTCATTTTATTGATTATTAGATTTTTGTTGCTTGCACAATTTTTTGTAAGATATTATTTTGTTCATATATAGATATATTTTTTTCTTTCATGGAATGAGTAACCATTTTGGGGCAAAGATAAGGTAATACCCATTCAGCTGTTGGGTTCACTCGATCACGGAGAATGAGAAGGGCTCTTTCTCGGTATGGACCCTCTTAGTTGCGCAAGTAGTGAGGGAGGGTGCCCTCTTCGCTGTCCCAATTTAGGAATACTGAGTTTTTAACAGCAGTGAGTTTATATACAGACCGAAATGTCTTATCAACAATTGTTAAGAACTATGTGTTGAACTGTAGTCAATTGCAGATGCTTCTGTATTTATTTTGGCATTTTGTATCCAAATATATTGGAAAAGGCACCAGATGTTAGTTTTATTATTTTCAGCCTTATGATGCAAGTTTCTTGTTGGAAAATGTAATATATAAGAACCTGATGAATTATTCTATGGTTTACCACCAGGGACCAGATCATCACTATATGTTGATGACTTAATCATCTATGCCTCCAGTCCATCCATACACAATCTCCAGCAACTCTTCTAGTCAGCAATATCATCAACAGCTTCCTGGGACACTAATCATAGCTTTCGTTCCTCCATCACTAAATCATTTTCTATCCTATTTTCATGTAAACGTGCAAAACCCCAACCTCCTCTCCTCTTATACGGCACTCCACTTCAATACCGTCCTTCGGGAAAGTTCCTTGGAGTAATTTTGTGACTTAACTATCCTGGAGAGACCATATCTTTTCCATCATCTAGTTACAATTCACCATTGCGGTCTCCAATTAGCATTAGGAGCATTCCGCTCCTCCCCAGTTGAGAGCCTGTACGCAGAATCAGTCATGCTATCTCTCTCGACGCCGTACCCTTCTTTCTCTCCGATGCTATGTACGCTTTCACCAACACTCCCTCACCAAATTAACTATTCCTCAATCTCTAATTTCTACCTTTACCTCATCCCGTTTATTAAAACCTTTCGTCATGTGTATGAATACTCTCCTTTCCCATTCACCCTTTCCAACTCTCCAACCTCTACCCTTCTCTGTACATTCAGTTCCTCCATGGCATATACTTTGCCCCCACATTTGCTCCTCAGTGTTTCCTGACCCATCAGATATACTTCCTGTTCTCACCCACTTTCTTAACCATGCTCCTATCCATTCCTTGAGCATACATGTTTACACTGATGGCTCCAAAACCACCTCTGGAGCAGGTTTTGCATTTATTTTCCCAAACTACACATTCAAATAGCCTCAACCTCCTGAATCTAGTGTTCTCATTACTGAATTATATGCAGTCCTCTTCGCCTTAAAACATATATACTCTCTCTTTTCCACATCTTTCACTATTTTTACAGACTCTAGAAATGCACTCTCATATAAAGTCCATATACTTAACTAACCTCCTTGTCTGCAAAATTCAGGACTGGCTATTTTACCTCTACTCACGATATAAAACTATCAAGTTTGCTGGGTGCCCAGCCATATAGGAATACCAGGTAATGAAAGAGCAGATACCCCAGCTCGCTTACTGTGTCCACATAACCCCAATTTTTCACAAATCTCAGCCATGGATATTACTCTCATTTTCAAACCTTTCTTTATGCATGATGACAAACCTGGACAGGTCTTACCAACAATAAATTACATTCAATGAAGCCAGCAATCTCCTGGTCAACTTCCTTCCATAAAAACAGCTACTGGGAAACAGCTCTATCCTGATTGCGTATTGGCCATACACGCCTAATGCACTCATACCTCATGACATGATCAGACCCACCACTATGTTCCTTCTGTAATGCCCCCATTTCAGTTTAACACATCTTGTCCTGTCCACGTTTCACTACAGCCCATACTAATGCATTACCTCACCTATCTTCCGTACACCGACCTCCTAACCTGTCAGACATCCTAATGGAATCCCATACTTTCTACATAGAAAACCTAATCTCCTTCTCAAACATACATATCCTTCACCCCTCTCTTTATCCTAGCTTAACCCAATCACTCCATCTCTACCTAACTATAAACACCCTTCAAATATCATCCTACCACTACATTACCACTGACGTATAACACCTAACTAATAACCGATCCCCATCTCTACCCTTTCCTATACTATACCTCCTATAGTGCTACATGACCTCCAATGTCTAGCACATTAATTTCACCTCTAACCATTAACTTTACTTATTCTATGGCTATGCATGTTCTTACGTGTGAACATTTGGATGGTGGAAAGGAAACTTCTGTTTAGTAGTGAATGTTACTACTGTTTTGATGATTTGATTTTGAAAAGATGTGTATCCTCTGGGTAAGAGAAGTAAGTACATCTTTAAGAATATGAAAGTGATGGCAAATGAAAGAGTGGTACACTGTCAACACATTACTGTGAATATCAAAATGCTTAGAGAAGCCATGATTTCTCATCATGTTTAAGCTTCAGAAGAGAAGTAATATAGAGGAACACAAAGTGAAAAACAAACAAATCAAGAAACGTATAATATAAAGACAGACAGACAGACAGATTGATTTCTTAGTATATTTTAATTGCCATGAGAACCCAAGGCACTAAGGTATGTGATATTTCCGAACAGCCATCAGACTATTATTAGTTTTTAGCATATTGATATAAGTGGATTGTATCATTCTTTAAATATAACACAACCAAGCTAGTTTTACTAGCATTTTAAAAGTAACTACAGAATATGAAAAAAACTGGGATAAATTGGTCTATTACTGTTAACCCATGTCGACACC